TTTTTTTTTGTTTTGTTTCTTTTTTGGCTAATTTGCATTTATTTATTTATTTAGTTTGTTTGTTTGTTTTGCTTTTTACTCTTGCTCATTCTTTCTTTTAATTTTTATTCCTTCTATTCTGTTCGCCATTTTTATTGAATATTCCTTCTCTTTTTTTTCGAAGTTTTTAATCTTGTCTTATATTTTCTTTATCTATTTTTGTTCAATACTTCCTTTTCTTTCATTTTTTTTTTACTTTTTCTTTTTCTGCTTTTCTTAAAGCTTATGTCTTTCTTTTTCCACTCACTTTTCCCGCTTAGTATTTCTTTTCACCCCTTTTCCCGCCAAGCGTCATCATCTACTACTCTGCCATCGCCACTACTACCATAGTCGCCATTTTAAATTAATTCTTTTCTACTTTTATTTCCTTTCTTACTCACATCTTGTATTGGGTTTTCTTTTTCTTTTTTATTCGTACATTTTTATTGAGCTCTTTTAGATTTTTTTTTTTTTCCCTCGAAATTTATCTCTTATTCTTTTCAATTTTTTTTTCTATATTTTTTTTATTATTTTTCTTTTTGTGTCTCCTATTGCGCATATTCAATCACAAGAAAAATGTTTAAGAGTAACGAACTAAGAGGGAAAAAAAACGAAACAAAAACGAAAGCCAAAGGCAAAAAGTATATAAAGAACGTTTTTATCATATCCCTTTTCGTAAAGTCATCATTTTTACTTGTTGTGTCTATAACAGAAACAAGTAAGGCCTGCGGTAAACAGAATTAATCCCGAAATCCCAAAGCTGCTAAATTTACGACCAAACCAATGTTTTATCTATATTCAGGTCTAAATTTAGGTTGAATACTTGTGGTTTACTAAACTTGGCATAGCTCCGGCACAAGACCAAAAGCATGAAGCACCCAGTATGGATCGAACTCTCTATTTTTTTTTATATCAGTAAGTCGAATCTATTACATTCACTTACATGCTAATACCCTTAGGAAAGGTATGAAACCTATTCTTCTCCCCCACCACCGCCAGCTATAGGTAAATAGCAGGACAGGCCGGGTTCTATAGCCTTGGATGGCAACTGGTCTACCGCAGCAACTTACAGCAGGAAAAAAAATCTGCCTCGAAAGATACATGATCACCTAAGCGTGTATCAAACATGGCACATAACTGACTGATTGATCACCCCACGCAAGGTAGTAAAGCCAAGGGGTTACTGGGCGTGGAAGAATTAAGAACAGAAACATTAATAATGAGCGGGACGAAAGATTAAGGAGACGAGATATTAATAGTCAACCAGATTAACGCGCTAACCGTTGTCTTACCCCGAAGCCCCTGTCGATATTTACCAAGAGTAGTTTATTTTTGGCACAAGGCTGAAAGTATGAGACACCTAGTGAGAACAGAACTCACTACTAATGGTTTGCTAATTAATTCGCTAACCATTGTACTACCCCAGATCATCTGTTGTTATTTACTAAGCGTAATTACTTCTTGCACAGTGCCATAATAATAATGCAAATCAAACTAAATCCACCACCACGGGGCACCATGGTGTTGGGTTATCTTGCTAGTTGTTACTGTTCATTTTTTAATCATTTTCCCTCCAAGCAAAGCAATAGAGCCACTAAGATACAAGAGGTTACTGATTGTGAAAGAATAAGAAAAAACATTATTAAGGAGAGAGAACAATAAAAGAAGAGGAATCAAGAAGACAATAGATAATGACTGACATTGCGTTTAAATTTTCGAAGATCAAATTTGTCAGGAAAACAAGAAACTGGAATAGAGTTCCACAGGCGAGAAGTGGGAAAGAAGAAACTGTTTGCAAAGAACTTACGGTTACATCCAGCCAATACAACTGTAAAATGAGGATACCTTGCCACCGATTTAGTACTGCACTTAAATTCATAAAGTCTATGTACCAGGAAGTTTCATCAGAACAATTACCATGGAAGTGTTATAGAAAAGGCACAGGGAAGCTACATTGCGGCAGTGGGAAAGTGATATATATATATATATATATATATATATAATTATGATAAATTCTGACTATACAGTGTAACCCGGATATAAGAGAGTTGTCGGGACCGGAGAAGAAGTCTCTTATATCCGGGTTTCTCTTATATCCGGGTTTGGTCTATTTTATATACATTAACACAGGCTCTAATTTGGGACCAGAGAAAATATCTCTTATATCCGGGTTTCTCTTATATCCGGGTCTCTTATATCCGGGTTACACTGTATCTATAATTATTAGATCTACTGGCCTCTTGATTACTCTTTTCTCTTTCTCCTCATTATTAATGTTTTCGTTCCTAATTCCTTCACATCCTGTAATCCCCTGTATGTTAGTGGCTGTACTGTCCTGCTTGGAGTGATATCGATTAAATATATATATGCTTAAATCTAGCCAATCTAACTTTAAAATGATGAGACTTTGTCAATCTAGTACTGCACTTAAATTCATAAAGTCTATATACCATAGAGGAAATTTCATCAGTACAATTACCATAAAATATTTAAAGAAAAAGCTACATTATGGTGGCGCGAGAGTGACTGAAACCAGGATGCCATTTAAGGATCAATAACATTGCATATTCTTCTTTCGATTTTATCAAGAACCTTTAAATATATAGCGGGAATACCAGACTATAGTGATTTTCTAAGCATAACTTGGATGTGGCACAAGGCCGAAAATAATGGGCAACCCAGTGAGGATTGAACTCACTACTCAGTCGTAATTGTTCTAGCGAGACAAGCTTGCTAACCATTACACCACGCCGAGACGCCCTAGGGAAGTACCAGATGTGGCAGCAATATTCGTAGCATGGAGGAATGGTCGACTTAAAAAATATATAAATAGATTCTGGAGTGTAAACCTTTATGTAGTTGGCTCCGTTATGAATACATTTTTTTTTTTTTTTCTTTTGTTGTTTTTTTTTTTGTTTGTTTGTTGAAATATGATTGTATGATTGTTCCGAAAATCATCTTAAGTAAGGGTTCAGTAAACGCCTAGTACTTATTCATTTCTTTCCCTGTGTTACTACCGCCAATGCGTCTGTGTACTTGCAAAATCTGCGATGTCCAATGGTATGATAAGGGAAAAAAGATTACGGTACAGTGACATCCCTCGGAGAATCAAAGACGGGAAAAGTTAGATTCGGTTGACTGAAAATGAACAATTTAACCAGATCTTTTGTTTGACATCGTTACTCGATTTATCACCATAGTTGAAAAACGCTGAACACGAGTGAAGTATTTTGGCTCAATCATGTAACCAGGAATGCTGTTGTGGTAAAACTATTATCTTTGCTCACACTATATATAAGCTCCGCTACTTTAGTGAAAAATAAAAACAAATTAAACAAATAAAAATCTACCGTAGGTTTATTTCCCGCTCAAAATCTTACAGCTTTTTTTTTTTTAAATATCTGTCTCCTACGTAAAAGCAGACGACCCCCCTGCGTTTTTTAAAATGTCTTCAACATCCGCCACGTTTGTTTTGTTACTTTCTTCGCCGTAACCAAACCACAGGGAAGAGTAATTGCTCGTGGGAAATCTGGTTTCTTCATCTAAAGGTCTTCTTGTTCTTTCTTATAAATACCTTTTACCTTCAGCTTAGCGCGCTTTGAAATTATGTGCGCGTGTTCAAAACGTTTCCGTTAACAGCCGAAGAAGATTTCTACCATTCAACAAGACTCATGACTATAAAGAACCATTATAAAACCATAAAATAAGACGATTTGTATATTGTTGTATCATTCCACCCCAAGCAAGGCGACACTGCCACTAGAGGTTACTGGAAGAGAATAAGAAGATTTTTGTGAGGAGAAAGGACAATAAATAAGTATGATTCAGGAAGACAAAAGATAGCGATTGGTATTGCTTTAAATTTTTAAAGATTGTAGGCTACAGGAAAGCAAGAACTCGAGAATTATGAGAAAGGAAAATATTGGAATAGAACATGCGGTTGCATCTAGCTAGTTCAATAGTAAAACGGCGAGACCTAATTGCCAATCAAGTAGCAGACTTAAATTCCTGCAGTCGAGGCATCGAGGAGGAAAGCCCATCAGAATAATTGCCATAAAAATATTTGTAGAAAAGACAGCTGGAAGCCATGTCCTGTCGGTGAGAAACTGACCCAAGTTGAGATGCCCGGTCAGCATCGATTATATTACCGACCCTTCTTTGAATTTTGTCTAGAATCTTGAGACATATAGTAGGAGCACGCGATCAGATATGGCAGCAATGTTCAATACGAATGACTGATTTATAAGTGTGCAAGATGAATTCTGACAAGAAAGTTGTCTGTCACGTGACAGCGAACCAACTTTCCTAGCAGTAGATATCGAAATAGATTCAATGTAATCACTCTACACGACATCAGTCGAAACCGGGAAACCAAGAAGACACAAAGAATTGCTCTTCTGGAGGTTAGCATCAGCCAAGCCCATGTCATGAAGAAAAAGTTCTCTGTGGAGATTAAATGAAAGTAGTTCTGTTTTGGAGGCGTTAAAATTTACAAGCTAGGCATTGTTCCGATCAACCATTGATTTGAGGTCTTTTTTGAAAGCAGTTACCAGTTTCATTTTGTTAAACCTATCGGATTTGCTACTAAGACAGAAGTAAATAGTTGTTTCGTTGGCATGAATTCCTAATTGGAAAATGATGACATCGAGGTGGTTGTAGATGAAGATAAGAAAAAGTCCTGGGATAGAGTTATTGCAGAAGCCCAGCATAAATGGGAAAAGAACTAGAAATGTGTCCGTTCAACACGATTTGTTCGGAACGATTGGATTAAGCCAAATATTTGTCCCGTGATACCGTAGCCCTTGAGCCTGTGGAGAAGACCAGCATGACAAACCCTGTCGAACGCCATCGCGATATCTAGAGCCACAGCCCGAGCTCCGCCGTTGTAAGGCTTGATGGACAAATTATCTAAAGCTCGAAAAAAGAACAATATTTTAGATTTTTAGAAAGGAGAATGCGCTTAAGAGTATTTTGAAACATCGCGTTGACACACCAGTTCTCGTACGATTACTGAAGTTAAGCAACGTCGACCCTGGTCAGTACCTAGATGGGTGACCGCCTAGGAATAGCAGGTGTTGTAAGCTTTGTTGTTTATTCTGCTTTTCAAGAATATTTTTATTCAGCTCGTCTATAATTGTTTATGAAAGAACTGAATACCAGTTGGGTTCGTTATAATAACGTACGCGCAAATACCGTTGGAAAAGGGATGAATCAATATCGCCCCCCCAACTGTGGGTTAATTAGTAAGGTTTGATTTTGTTTGACGTCATATCAACCTAATCGAAATATCTTGTACTTAATTTTACTATGAAAATATATTTTTATGTTTTTTAGTGTTGTATTGATTGTCATTTTTCTATAAAAATGTATTGTTGGTCATTTTATTATAAAAATGTATTGTTGATTTTTGTTGGGGGGGTCACTATTTTTCCATAACTGGAACCCTAACAGGTGCTACGACCCTGGGTCAGGTTAGACCTGAGAACAACAGCAATTAACAGGTGGGTCTACGCTCCTCAAAAACGCCAATCTCCCGATCAGGGGGCCTTGCTGTCGGATGTCATTTATCGTCATACCCAGGACGATAATAAGTAAGACTTGTATCGTTGAATCTACCCACTCCTAAATTATTGCCCTCTAAAAATATGGTTTTAAATAACCTGCGAAGGCTTGATAAACCTTAGAAAACGAATCTATCCCAATCAATCAAAAGTGGTCTTCAATTTAAAAATTGTTGAAAATTCTACGATAGTTTTTTTTTTTTTCTTTTCTTTCTAAATACATTCTGCAAAATAAAATTCTTAAATTTACCTTGATAAAGAACCTCAGGAGACGAAACGCGTCGGTTCAAATAAACTTTCCTTTTGTCTTTCTTCATACTGTCTTTTTACAGATATATTTCGTTTATATTTGAATTTTTATACACAAATACATACACAGACTCATATATATATATATATATATATATATATATATATATATATATATATATATAGGTGTGTGTGTGTGTGTAATTTGTATATTCCTTTTCTTGTGTATAAGATTCATGATCATAGAGAATTTTGAGATCACTGCACTAAGAAGAAAATACATTGAAAGTGCACTAATCGCACAATACTCTACGCTTAACATCGGCTGGGGCTCATATACAACGTCACCGACCACTACAACAGCATCAGTAAGTAGCACAATGCGGCATATAAACTAATAGAAATTAACAACGATCTACTTGAAGTGGGTTAATTCCAAATCCAACAGACGTTAACATTAAAATTCCAACGCATTTTTTATTTACTCAAACGAAGTCAGGTTGTGATAGAAGGTCAGTTTAATGCGAAGATCCCGAGCGCGTACACCCGGGCTAGGAACAAAAATTGCCCGAGCCCGAGCACCAATCCCTCTCGCTGGTGCAATGAGAGGGCGCGGCCTCAGGCAGCTGTTCCCCAGGGCTGGGCACCTCAGTGTAATTTTCCTCAGTTGCGACTCTGACCTTTGACAGAGTCGCCCCAGAACGCACTCTGCCCAAAGACAGAGACGTAACTGAACGATGATAAATACTGCGTTACAGACTACTCGAGAATAATTTACACACGCGTTTGTCTTTCATAACAACTTGGAAGATATCTACCATAAAGAGACGAAACTCTTTGTCTGAACAACTTTTTCAATTTCTCAGATTGTCTCCAAAATTTCTAGTCTTCATTTCTAAACTTTTTATTGGATTTTCAACGGGTCTAGCGACAAATGTTAAGAATGCCATGGATAGGGTATGTTAGCAATGAGGAAGTTTTCAGGGAAATATAATATAACCAGCAAACGTATGCTTACTGTCTGAAAGAGACATTCCAGTGCTAAACTTTTAATTGGATTTTCAACGTGTCAGCCGACAAATGCCATAGGTAGGATATGTGAGCAATGAGGAAGTTTTAAGGGAAATATAACCAGCAAACGTATGCTTACAATCTGAAAGAGACATTCCAGTGCTGAACTGCTTTGTAAGGTGAAATAGTAGTGACCGCTGGACAATTTTCTCACAGATGAAGAAGAGACTTGCAGTAACAGAAATTTGGTTCTACAGAAGGATGCTGAGAATATCATGTGAGAAAGGATTTTTTTAAGAAAATAGGAACTACAAGAAACCAAAGCATTACAATCAGAAAGGGAGAGTTGGAATTTGTGGCACACATAACAAGGAAAGGATGTTTGGAGAATTTAATACTCGTAGGGTATAGAGAAGGTAAGAGATGCAGAAGGAAACTGAGTAACCTGCTTAACGAGTGAAGAAGACGAGTTTTAAGGAAGAAAAAATAAGGAGTATGAGTGAAGAAAAAAAGAAAAGGATGGATGGTAATGAGTCAAAAGCTTACTTAACAAAAAATAAGAGTTGTGAATTCAATACCTGTCCACAGCAGAGGCGAACAAAACTTTGGAAAGATGATTTACTAAAGGTAAATAACTAAAACGGAGATATCCAGACAAGGCATGGCACGTGGAACTAGAACAATCTACCCCCGTGGACTAAATAAAGGTTTCAGTTAGAAATTCCAACGAATATCACCTGAAGAAGACCGGAGCTTACAACTGCCGAAACGTCGTGAATATGACAATAAAGATTCGGACAACAGTCCTAACAATGTAAATAGTCTAAATAAAAATAAAAGGTTGTGGCGACCATTATCGTTCACGTCTTGAAAAGACACTCTACATAATAAATAGGAAGATTTTAGTGTGTTCTGTATCTATGCATGAACACTTAAGAAATATGGACATCAAGGAGGTTTTAATGGCCGAGTTCGAATTCCAGTCGAATCCATTACATTCACTTTCATGCTAATACCCTTGGGGAAGGTATGAATCCTCTTCTTCTCCCCTCCCTACAGCTATGGATAAATAGCAGAATAGACCAGGTTCTATAGCGTTGAATGGCAACTGATCTACCACACAAAGAAATGGCAACCTACTGCGGGAAAAAAATCTGCCTCGTCAGTCATGTATCGAAAGATACATGATCGCCTAAACATGTATCACGCATGGCACAGAACTGACTGACTACAAGTAACCGAAGCATTACACTCGAAAGTTGAAATTTCTAGGAAACATAATGAGGAAAGAAGACTTGGAAAATTTAACACTCACTTGACATATTGAAGACGTGAGAGGCATGGTATATATCAGCGAGTAACCTACTTGATGATTTTGTGTAAATGAATAGCAGAACAAGGACAAAGGTTAAAAGTTACTAAGAACAAGAGACAAGAAGTTGTGGAGAGCCATGACCGCCCACGTCCTGAACGTATATGGCGCATATAATCGATACAAATATTCTCACATGGTGATATAAAAGGAAGCTAGATATACATGAATCTGTTATTGTATCTAATGAATGCTTGAAACTTCCCTAAAATTGGTTCAGATTGATGTACGGATTTAACTTTTCGGTGACTGTAAAACAACAAATTTTAATTATTTATATATTTTGTTTTAATTTTTATCCGATTTTGTGTTTTGAACTGGAAATGATTTCTCGGGCGGGGTTTTGTTTGTTCTTAAATTCTAATGTCTTATAAAATGTCAAAATGAATACCTCTATTAAGATTTCACCTGCTTCTTCTTCTTCTTCTTCTTCTTCCCTTCTTCTTCTTCTTCCTTCTTCTTCTTCTTCTTCTTCTTCTTCTTATGCCATTCTTCTTCTTCTTCTTCTTCTTCTTCTTCTCCTTCCCTTATTCTTCTTCTTCTTCCCTTATTCTTCTTCTTCTTCTTATCCTTCTTCTTCTTCTTCTTCTTCTTCCCATCTTCTTCCTCTTCTTCTTCCCTTATTCTTCTTCTTCTTCTTCTTATCCCCTTCTTCTTCTTCTTCTTCTTCTTCTTCTTCCCTTCTTCTTCTTCTTCTTCTTCTTCTTCTTCTTCTTCTTCTTCTTCTTCTTCTTCCCTTATTCTTCTTCTTCTTCTTATCCTTCTTCTTCTTCTTCTTCTCCTTCTTCTTCTTCCTTATTCTTCTTCTCCCTTCTTCTTCTTCTTATTTCTTCTTCTTCTTCTTCTTCCCTTCTTCTTCTTCTTCTTCTTCTTCCGTGTTCTTCTTCTTCTTCTTTCTTCTTCTTCTTCTCCTTATTTTTCTTCTTCTTCTTCTTATTCTTATCCCCTTCTTCTTCTTCTTCTTCTTCTTCTTCTTCTTCCCTTATTCTTCTTCTCCTTATCCCCTTCTTCTTATTATTATTATCCCCTTCTTCTTCTTCTTCTTCTTCTTCTTCTTCTTATCCTTCTTCTTCTTCTTCTTCTTATCCCCTTCTTCTTCTTCTTGTTCTTATCCCCTTCTTCCCTTATTCTTCTTCTTCTTTTTCTTCTTCTTCTTCTTCCCTTATTCTTCTTCTTCTTCTTCTTCCCTTATTCTTCTTCTCCTTATCCCCTTCTTCTTATTATTATTATCCCCTTCTTCTTCTTCTTCTTCTTCTTCTTCTTCTTCTTCTTCTTCTTCTTCTTCTTCTTCTTCTTCTTCTTCTTCTTCTTCTTCTTATCCCCTTCTTCTTCTTCTTCTTCTTTTTTCTTCTTCTTCTTCTTCTTCTTCTTCTTCCTTATTCTTCTTATCCCCTTCTTCTTCTTCTTCTTCTTCTTCTTCTTCTTCTTCTTCTTCTTCTTCTTCTTCTTCCTTCTTCTTCTTATTCTTCTTCTTCTTCTTCTTCTTCTTCTTCTTCTTCTTCTTCTTCCCTTATTCTTCTTCTTCTTCTCCTTCTTCCCTTCTTCTTCTTCTTCTTCTTCTTCTTCTTCTTCTTCTTCTTCTTCTTTCTTCTTCTTCCTTCTTCTTCTTCTTCTTCCCTTATCCCCTTCTTCTTCTTCTTCTTCCTTATTCTTCTTCTCCTTTCTTCTTCTTATTATTATCCCCTTCTTCTTCTTCTTCTTCTTCTTCTTCTTCTTCTTCTTCTTCTTCTTCTTCCTTCTTCTTCTTCTTCTTCTTATCCCCTTCTTCTTCTTCTTCTTCTTCTTCTTCCTTCTTCTTCTTCTTCTTCTTCTTCTTCCCTTCTTCTTCTCCTTATCCTTCTTCTTCTTCTTCTTCTTCCCTTCTTCTTCTTCTCCCCTTCTTCTTCTTC